ATGATGTAAGTAAAACATGATATGGATGAAATGTGATAGATATGAAATGCTGATGTAGGTGAAACACATCAGTTGATGGGATCAGTCATACAGTTACAGGGTTAACGACGAATAGTTAGGAAAAGAAAGAAACCCCCCCTCCAAGCTGTAACATTACCCCCCTCTCTAGATTTGTCGTTAGAGCTTCCATTGAGCGCAACGTTCCTGTAGATATCTGGGTTCTTCAGTAGGACAGGGAAGTTGTCCAGGCTGAATGTCGGCATTGGTGCAGAATTTGTGATAAGGGTGGAGGAGCCCACAATAAGAACATAGCCAGTACCAACACTCACTTTGAAGATGACCATTGGTTTCGCATTTAGTACAGAAGTGAAGGCAGTGAGGCATGGCCCCAGAAGGAGGGGTGGTGATTGAAAACTCATGTTGTTTGAGGCGTTCCTCCAGGTTGGCAGCTCTGAGGCGTGCTCAGCACTGGTCCATCTCCTGTTGGGCACGAATGAGTTCAGCCCCTACTGATCATCATGCAGCCAGTAGTAAGTCGATTTTGGCATTGACAGCTCTGAAGCAATCAACTTCATCGGCAACTCCAGGGTCCTTGATATCTTGTAGCAAGGCCCAGAGACTCTCCAACAGGTTATCATCTCGTGTCAGCAAGTACTCCCAAGTATCCTCCTCCCATTCTTTATCCGAAAGGTTCCAGTTTCCTATGGGTTCAGTGACTCAGAGAACATCGGCTGCAGTTGTCGATACCCGTCGTAGTCCAAAGGCAGGGTTTCCATCGATGGGAACACCCATAGGAGGCCTAGTAATGGTGGTAGCGTAGGCTCCAGGGAAGTAGGGTAGTATGTGTTCCAAGGGATCGACATCTTGAACAGGAGTAGAGGTGTCAAATGGAAGGGATCGCCATTGTCGGGTGATGTCATTGGAGGGCCGCTGGATAATGTTGTCGCTGTAGACTACAAACTCTTGGGGATCACTGCTACATCCTTCTGTCACTGTAATGTACTCACTGGTGTTGGCTAGTAGCCGTAGATTGGGAGCATGGTCGAGACTACCATTGTCGGAGACATCCAAAGCAAGAGGCGGCATGCTGGGTGAGTCAGTGGACGTGGCAAGGGGGCTGTCAGGATTGGGCGAGGACGAGATATTCATAGGCGATGAGGATGGAAAAACCTGTGCAGGAGCAACATGGTAAGATCCAGTGGTAGCTTCCGATTCCTGAGGGACTTCCAGGGGTCCAGGGAATTGGTGTAAGACCATGGCGTCACTGTTGGATGAGTCAGAGGGTCCTGGGATGAGGAAGGGCTGGCAAGTGATGTTTGGCAGAAAAGGGGGAAATGGATAATGGAAACCGCCTTCATCAAGGAACTCTAGGGAAGAGTCATCAGACTCCTGTTGAGAGGGGAAGCTCAAGATGGGGCACCTAGGAACTGGCATCTCTATTACTCCAGCTGTGAAGCGCTCTTCTAGGGTTTGGAGGTGGGAAGGATAGAGAGTTGCCTCCCTCTGGGGACCAGTTGTTGGAGAATTATTACGCCTAGGAGCCAGAGGACAACGACACAGGTCAGGGTTAGAGGTCGCATTGTTATTTCTTGCATGGGTGTTGCGTTTGGCAGGCATGAGTGAGAACCAAAAAGATATTTTGTTCTTGAAAAAACCAGTCCCAGAATACAAAACGAGCCAACTACTATGGACAAAAGGAGACCCCAAACACTAATCTTGATGCTCCCTAATGTACTCAAAGTACACTTGTGTTGGATTGTTGCTGTCACAGTTGGCAGCGATGACCAGAAGCATGGTGGTGGTATGGGGAAGGGGGCGCTGGGCAGTAGCGGCGATGTTGTATGCCCACTGGTGTTCGCGTTTGAGGTGTTGGATTGTGAGCCGAAGGGGTAGGGGGATGATGAGGGCGAGGGCGAGGATGGAGAGGAGGGTGGTTAGGAAGAAGCCCAGAAGGGCGAGGAGTAGGAGATGGGGGTGCTCGTCGACAACAGCGAGGGTGGCAGTGGTGAAGGAGGCAACTTGGTTCACCACTAAGTAAATCAGTAAATTGTGTGGGAGTTAGCTCAACTGGGGACGTTACTTGTGTGCCATTGTTAGCCCAGTTGAGAGCTTGTTCGTTGATGGGAGTGGTGGAGAGAGGAGTGGGGGTGCGTTCAAGGTGAACCTTGAAGGTGTAGTTGTCTTTGAGGAAAAAGACGGCGAAGATGAGGATAAGAATGAGGAGGACGATAAATGTCCAGCTGATAAGGAGGAGGGCGGTGAGGATGGTGATGGATGCCATTGGGGAGGACTGAGGTGAGTAGTTCTTATAAGGAGTCATCCTTTGTTTGGTTGCAGAAAGTCTGCCAAAGCATCTTTGGCATGTGAAAGTTTGGCTTTCGGTAACCAGGAGTCATCCAAGGCCAGGTATCCTTTCCATCTTACCCGGTACAGTGTTCACTTGCCAACTGTCTTTGAATCAATGATATGTTTGATTTCAAACTCCTCCTGGTTCTTGATTAGTTCCGGTGGAGATCAGAGATAATTCTTCCCATGCATTGTTGTTTCCGAATACAGATAGAGTAATCCCGCATGGAACACAGGGTGAATCTTCCATTTAGGTGGCAACTTTAGTCGATATACCACCAATGACAGCTTCTGATTGATGGTGAATGGTCCATAACGCTTTGGTCCAAGTTTGGCTTTTGGGTGAAGTCCTTTGAGGTTGGTTGCTTCCAGCCATACTTTCTGTCCAGGTGTATATTCGACGAACTTTTCCTTATTTCATTTCTTGACTGTCTCTTCTGCTAGTTGGATGCTGGATTGTATCTCCATGCAAAGATGTGTTAGCTGAGTGTGTTACGGCTTGGAGGGGGGGGTTTCTTTTCTTTTCCTAACTATTTGTCATTGACCCTGTACTAT